AATTCTTTATTGTTTCAAATCATTTACATTATGAGAGTACATCTTGCTCCATTAGTTGGCTTGTTTCTGCTGGTGACTTTGGGCGAATCTAAATACCTGAAAAAAAATGGAAAAAAATTCAGTTAAATTCAAATTATCTCAGAGTTCAACTCAAACATGTTTTGGTCCATCTGTATCACTGTGACGCCAACTCATCGAATGAACTTTCTATGTTACAGGTGGTAAGCATCAAGTCCAGGCCCAGGCACATCCCTTTGGATACGAAGTAGCATCACTTCCTATTTTACTACGACTGTACCATACAAATGAAATAAATAGCAGCATCACTGTCAAAGATTACTAATGATTTTCCTCCAGTTCCGCACTAAAATTAAAACACAACTATATATTTTAGGCTCAAGTAATAAGCCATAATTATGGAATGAGAATAAGTAGTAAAGGAATGACAAGTAACCCCCAAATAGAAACAATACGAAAATAAACTTTTACCAAACATGACTACCATAAATGTACTGGTATTTTATGTTAACATCACATTGAAAGTCAAAACTTACCAGATTCATTCATGCAATCATGTGTGCTCCAACTCCAACTCAGCATACAGCAGGTGACACATAGGCTGCTTTGCTGATGTCCAAGTCAGGTGCACCTCCACGCCGATAATCTTCCTGCAACAAACCAAAGACGCAATTTTGTAGTCGAAGAAACAGGATGCAAAAGAGGCAGGAAGCATGCAATTTCGACAGAGGTGGTCAAAGTCGACTCTCCTAGACCAATTCCAATCATTTCCAGCTATTTTTATTTTTTTCATTTTTGGCAAAATTTACAAAGGCTATAGCCTTTGTGTTTTTAGCGAAAATGGGTGGGTCCGGATTTCGACGGAAAAGTAGTCGAATCGACAGGGGTAAACCAGGGGACCACAAAACTACTTTTGGTTCCGCCAGAAACCACCCCTGTCCACAGTAACTTGAGTTTTAAGGGATGGTCTTTTGAATCTGGCGGGCAGCGTACAACGGGCTGCCTACCTAGCAGGCGAGCCGGTCCAAGAAAGAACATGCGTAACTCACTTATCATGGCCTGGTGGCGTAACATTTCGACTGAGAGATTGAAAGGGGGTTCTGTCGGACCAATCCCGGTCATTTCCAGCGATTTTTATTTTTTTCATCTTTGGCCAAATTTACAAAGGCCCCATTTTTAGCGAAAATTGATGGGTCCGGATTTTGACGGAAAAGTAGTCGAATGGACAGAGCTGAACCAGGGAACCCCAAGACTACCTTTCGTTCCGTCCGAAACCACCCCTGTCCAGAGAAACTTGAGTTTTAAGGG